CCATCCATCCATCCATCCGTCCGTCCGTCCATTCATCCATCCGTTTATCCATCCGCTCACCTTAGAATCAGAATTCTTAATTGACTTGTTGCCCTGGAGTACATGTGAAAGTAGTTTTAAATTTTTTAAAGTTTTTTGAAATTTTATTTATTTATCTGACTGCACCTCGAGGCTTGTCTGATGTTAGTTCCCCAACCAGGGATTGAATCCAGGCCCTGGTAGTGAAAACCCTGAGTTCTAATTACTGGACCACAAGGGAATTCCCTGAAAGTGGTTTTTATTTTATTTCATTTTAATTTTTTAAAATTGTAGGTTCTTTATTATGAAATATTTAAAATCCAACTGTGTCTTTAAATAGAAAAATAAAGTCAGACTTTCCATGTCAGAAATTATGTCTGATTTAGCTGATTAGTTTGACAATGAGGAGTTAGTTTTGACAATTAGGGAATAGAGGAGGCATTTTCTATAATTGAATGATCTAGGTTTGCACCTCGTGCTAGGACTTTTGTCTGTTTCAGTATTTAAATTGACTATAAATATTAGTTGTCAACTTAAAAATGTGCCTGGGGATTCTTTAAGAGAATTTTCATGGAAACTTACTTGCATGGATTTTCTACATCTTGAGATATATTTTTAGGAAATAGTTTTTTGAGGGTTCATAGACAGGGTAGGAGGCAAAGGGAATGAGAGGATGAGATGGTTGGATGGCATCATCGACTTAATGGACATGAGTTTGGGTAGACTCCGGGAGTTGGTGATGGACAGGGAGGCCTGGTATGTTGCGGTTCATGGGGTCACAAAGAGTCAGACACGATTGAGCAACTGAACTGAACTGAGACTATAGATATCACCATTTCCTTATTTGGGTCTTTTATCCCAGGAAGATTTAGAATATACAAAGTCAAATCCACAGTCTTAATCATTTTATGTCAAGCTTAGGAATAGGTTTTTTAATTAGTGGGACAATCTACATACATATAGCATGACAAAGCATGTGTTAGATGTAAACTCTAAGAATTGATTTTCCGTTTTGTGAATTCTTAAGCTGAAAGACATTCTTTATCATCATTTAAGGTGCCAAATGATAGCTGACCTTATGTATTAAAAACTACTTTATAAAATTACCTGAACAAGAGCATAGAAGATCTTGAAAATTTGTTTCTGAATGAGGACAGATTGATCAGACTGATCAGAAAGAAGCTGGATAAAACGGTCCTTTAGAACTGGCAGGAAATGCTGCATTGCTGCTACCAGTGGACTCCGTTCCTCTGGTTTCTTATACCTTTGGGTAGGAATACAAACTAATTCTGTGAGAATTTATTTATAATTAAATATGAGATATAAATTTAAACTACTTGCCTGTTTATACAGATAAAAGCAAACATTTTCTAAGCAACTTTATAGTCCTAGAAGAAAAATCTATTATGGAATTAAATCATAGGCAAAAAGCAACTTGAGAAAAACCTCAAACAACAGAACATCTAAAATTTACTGAGCACTTATTATGAGGTAAACAACCTTCAAGGCCTCATTAATATCCTCACTTCTATAGCTGAGGAAACTGAGGCACAGAGAAGTTAAATATCTTCCCTAATATATATATCTAGGTATGAACCTTAGCAGATTCAGGATCTGCCCTTTAACCATTTCACTATGTTATTACTAACTGTGAATACTGATAAAACTGAGGAGTTACAATGATTTGGTTTTTAAACATTAGGAGCTGATTGATATAAAATAATTACGTATTACCATCCTTAAGTGATTTACACACCAGAAGCATTAAGGAAGAAATGGCATCTGTAAAGCAGAAAATATTCTATTTCTAAAAGCACTATAAATCGGAAGTTCTTTTGTAACCTTTCTGGCAACAAAGTCTGACCTCAACAGGATATTGATGATCTCTGTTTATCCCATTTGGAGTAAATATTCATATACTTATAGCATATATAAAAAATAATGTTTGATTCCTGGATACTGGTACAGATTTCAATAGAATATATATTACGTGAACCTTGTTTAAACCTTTTTAAATTCTGAAAAATTCTGAATTCTGAATTACATTTTGCTTCAAAGATATGAGGTAAAGAAGTGCTGACTAATTGAGACATTCCTCCATTGAGATCCTTAGCATTTTAACAGTATTGTTAAAAGGTCTATTGGCTTTTTTTTTTTTTGTAATTTTAAGTTACTGATTTCCCCTACCAGATCCCAGTTTTATCTATCAGTAGCTTCTGTAAAGGGAGAAAATGTTTCTGAAAATTGAGTATGTTAGCACATTTTTAAAGGTAAAGGTAGACATTCCTAAAAGACTGGATTGTTTTTCCTACTGGGTGAAATGAGAAGCAAAGTAAACTGCCAAGACTAAAACAAGAGCAATGTTCATGCTAATAATGTTTTGAGATTAAACAATTAACTGACTGTTTTAAAATATTATTTAATATGCTCAGAAATTACACCTAGTATACATTTAAAGGTTATCTGAATATTTCTTTGAGTCAATTAAAAACAGTAACAATTTACAAAAGGAAGCCATTTGCACTCTCCAACTTGATTAGACAAGCTATATTAATTACTAACAATATTATCTTATAACAACAAAGATGAGAAGTATATGATGCAACCCTCTCTCCATTATCCAATCCAGGTGATCACCCACATTATGATAGTTTGAATACCCATTCCATGTTATTTAAGACATTCTTCTCTCCTAACTCCCTCTCTACACTGAGTGGTGGCCTGGAAGTTGGATGGTGCAATATCCAAACTAATGAGTATGAAAATAATTTATGGAAGGATACAAATACTATTCCATAAGACCTGAAAGCTCCTCAAAGCATGAAAATGTGATACTAATAAAAGCCTACGGAGTGATCAAGATGGTGGAGGAATAGAAATGTGGAGCTCACCTCTTCCCACAAATAAAAGCCTATTACCAATGTCAATCTGGTAAACCATACTCATAGGGAATTCTCAAAGACTAGCCAATTCCTTTCCTCTTTGCTCCTTCTATGCTCCTTCAACTGACAAGCATTTCCTGAGGATCTATGCTCCTGAGGGCCATCACAACTTTCAATCTCTGCATGCATTCTCTTAGAACTGCGTTAGTCCACACAGATCCCTCGTGAACACCTTGTGCTCCAGACACTGGCTGAAGATAAACTGAAATTCCACCACTGCAGCAGTCTCCTGTCTTCCATTTAAAAATCCCTATCACACTCTCTCCTGCTAAGGATCACACGGCAGGAGACGTGGACCTTCCCAATGACAATGGCAGCTTGTTACTGTTACTCCCTCAGTCACTCACTTACCAGAACTACAACAACTGGCACTCCGACAGAGGTTGGAGCAACAGCTGGAACATCCCTTAGCAGGAAGATGGGTAGCTGGTGGGAACACAAGAAAACACCAGTACCAATGCTGTAAATGCTATATTTCTTTCCTGCTCAGAACAAAAGCAGCAGTTCATCACCTACTTTGAGTGGGACCCAGAAAGGATATCAAAGGCTAACTACAAGCCCCAGATATACAGGGCTCACAATGTGTAGCTGTTCGGACTAGAAATAAAGCCACCATCATGGTGTAGTGTTCCTTCCTCTTTAATGTTCTAACATCAAAATTTTCAAGTGCCTACCAATTTCATCATTTTCACCACACACTTAAGAGAAAAACCTCAACAACATTCGGCTTATTACTTTCAGTGCTATATCTCAACTTCCAAGGTTAGATTTTTTTTTCCTGATCCCTAAACCCAGGTCTAAAATGATCCCTAAATCTTTCTTACTGATACCAAGCACTTACACAGGCTGTAATTTGCTCAAATACACCAACACTGAATGAAGCAGGTGACTATGAATCCTTCAAACACAAAGGTTAAAAAATGATCAAATGAATTTCCAATGCATTCTTCTTAAAAAATTAGAGGTAAATTTAGCAAGAATTCAAATTAAGATAAAAATTCACAGAAAGCCAGAAAAAGAGCTCTAAAGCTCAGTGTACTTTGACCGCTTTCATATCTTTAAAAAAGCTTATCTTTAGGCCTTTTATCAACACAGACTGAGGAGTCTATATACAGGAGTTATAGATAACTTAGGTTTTCAATAGGGAAACATGATTAAGAAAAAAGGGCACAAGGAATTTCACAGCTGAATCAACAGAAGAGATTGCAGATTTAAAACAAGAATGCTATTTCAAAATGAAGACACAATTAAAATCAACATGTAATTCACTAACTTTGGTATATAGATCAAATGAAACTTTAAGTTGTTCAAACCGATTAGCTTAAATATCCCAAGCTTTTTCTACTTCTCAGAACTACAGGAATTGAGAGATACTTACTCATAATTTTTCACAAGCTGATAGAGGCAAAGAAGAATTCCTAGCCAACATGCACTGTTGTCAGACTGAAGATAAAAGCCAATTTTGTCCACAATAGCAGTCCAGCGACTTGGATAATCATGTTTGATGATATGATGAATGCATGTAGTAAGCTGTACCCTGAAAGTAAAAAATAAACAATAACAAGGAAGAAATACTAATAAGCCCATGACATAACTAGAAAAGCCTTCCCCACAATGAAAAGATCCCACATGCCCAAAAGAACCACCAAAGCAGCCAAATATATATATATATGGCTTAAAACTCAACATTCAAAAAACTAAGATCATAGCATCTGGTCCCATCACTTCATGGCAAATATATGGGGAAACAATGGAAACAGTGACAGACTTTATATTTCTTGGGCTTCAAAATTACTGCAGATGGTGACTGCAGCCATGAAATTAAAAGATGCTTGCTCCTTGGAAGAGACGCTGTGACCAACTTAGACAGCATATTAAAAAGCAGAGATGTTACTTTGCCAACAAAGGTCCATCTAGTCAAAGCTATGGTTTTTCCAGTAGTCATGTATGGATGAGAGAGTTGGACTGTGAAGAAAGCTGAGCACTGAAGAATTGATGCTTTTGAATTGTGGTGTTGAAGAAGACTCTTGAGAGTCCCTTGGACTGCAAGGAGATCCAACCAGTCCATCCTAAAGGAGATCAGTCCTGGGTGTTCATTGGAAGGACTGACGCTGAAGCTGAAACTCCAATACGTTGGCCACCTGATGCAAAGAGCTGACTCACTGGAAAAGACCTTGAAGCTGGGAAGGATTGAAGGCAAGAGGAGAAGGGGACGACAGAGGATGAGATGGTGGGATGGCATCACCGACTCGATGGACATGAGTTTGAGCAAGCTCCGGGAGTTGATGATGGACAGGGAAGCCTGAAATGCTGCAGTCCATGGGGTAATAAGGAGTCAGACACAACTGAGCAACTGAACTGCACTTTCCAGGTGGTGCAGTGGATAAGAATTCCCCTGCCAATGTGGAGGACACAGGCTTGATCCCTGGTCCAGGAAGATTCCACAAGCCACAGAGCAGCTAATCCTGTGCACCCCAACTACTGAAGCCCATGCGCCCTAGAGCATGCAAGCTGCTAACAACTGAGCCCACATGCTGCAACTACTGAAGCCTGAGTACCTAGAGCCTGTGGTCCGCAATGAGAAGCCAGCACACGGCAACAAAGAGTAGCCCCCGACTGCTGCTAGAGAAAGCCTGAGCAAAGCTACAAAGACTCAGTGCAGTAAAAAATAAACTTAAAAAAACAAGTCACTAAACAAAAACTATTACTACTGATTTAAAAGAAACCCAACAAATGTTATAAATGCAGATAATTGTATTTTTTTCATCCCCATCAACTGACAGGTTTCATTCAGAACATCAATACAATATAAAGTATATGACAGAATTCTGTAATTTTCTATGCTCCCTTTCATCTGAACATAGTATGTTTCACAAGTTTGACATGAAGTTTAAAGTTTTGGGTTTTAATTAATGTAAAATTAAACTGCAGTGAGAAAATAAAGTAATTTTCCTGTAACAGCATTTAAGTTTTGTGCTTCAGAAAGGACAGATTTTTGGGAGGGAGCTGCACTAGGTCTTGGTTACAGCATTAGGGATCTTTGCTGCATCTTGCTGAATCTTTCAGTCATGGCACCCTGACTCTGGAGTTGTGGCACACAGGCTTTAGTTGCTCCAGAACATGTAGGACCAAAGTTCCCCAACCAGGGACTGAACCTGCATCCCCTGCATTGTAAAGTGGATTCTTAACCCCCAGATCACCAGGGAAGTCTCCAAAACAACCAATTTTTATGTTCTGAAAGATTCCCTTTTCTGCAAACCCTGAAAATTATTACCTTCAATAATGGTTAAGTTTAAAATACATACATACCTGATGAGCTCAGGAGAGTGAATAATAGCTTCTACAATATTTTCTCGAATACAATGTCGATCTTCTTCAGGAATAGTATAAGGGGATATATCCCCTGGTGCTGTTTCCCGATCAGGCCAATACTGCGTTATCATATTTTTCAAATAGATAACACCTAAAATATAGATCAATTTGACAAAAGAATGTGAAAGCACTGTAAGCATCCCTGTGTCTACACCTCAGTTTATTTCTTTCAGATCAACCACTGCTAGTAAAGCTATCCTTTTAAAATTAAAATACTGTATTCTATTATTTAAAAAGTTGACAAAATACAAATTTAATGTTGGCTACAGTAATCACCCACAAAGTCATTATTAAACATACAGTCTGCGGGGGTTGGTGATGGACAGGGAGGCCTGGCATGCTGCGGTTCATGGGGTCGCAAAGAGTCAGACACGACTGATCGACTGAACTGAACTGAACTGAACTGCAGTAACTCTGCAAACTAAAACAAAATTGTTTTTACAATGCATTTACACACAACACTTTCCACCCTGTTTTCTGTAGGAAAGCTGTTTTACCAAGTCTGTTTTTTAAAATGAAATTTCTAAATAATAAAACTGCATACACATACCAATAAAGTTTCTATCTTGGACTCCAGCACTGTGAGAAACAGCCTCTGAGTATTTCTTTCTATCATAATGCACCATAAGAAGTGGATGTATATACTTATTTGTATAATTTTGATTCAGTATTTTAAAAAGTGTTCGGTCAGAAAAATAAATGACCCAACCAAAAAATGGGCCAAAGAACTAAACAGACATTTCTTCAAAGAAGACATACAGATGGCTAACAAACACATGAAAAGATGCTCAACATCACTCATTATCAGAGAAATGCAAATCAAAACCACAATGAGGTACCATTACACGCCAGTCAGGATGGCTGCTATCCAAAAGTCTACAAGCAATAAATGCTGGAGAGGGTGTGGAGAAAAGGGAACCCTCTTACACTGTTGGTGGGAATGCAAATTAGTACAGCCACTATGGAAAACAGTGTGGAGATTTCTTAAAAAGCTGGAAATAGAACTGCCATATGACCCAGCAATCCCACTTCTGGGCATACACACCGAGGAAACCAGATCTGAAAGAGACACGTGCACCCCAATGTTCATCGCAGCACTGTTTATAATAGCCAGGACATGGAAGCAACCTAGATGCCCATCAGCAGACGAATGGATGAGGAAGCTGTGGTACATATACACCATGGAATATTACTCAGCCATTAAAAAGAATTCATTTGAATCAGTTCTAATGAGATGGATGAAACTGGAGCCCATTATACAGAGTGAAGTAAGCCAGAAAGATAAAGACCATTACAGTATACTAACACATATATATGGAATTTAGAAAGATGGTAACGATAACCCTATATGCAAAACAGAAAAAGAGACACAGATGTATAGAACAGACTTTTGGACTCTGTGGGAGAAGGCGAGGGTGGGATGTTTCAAGAGAACAGCATCGAAACATGTATATTATCTAGGGTGAAACAGATCACCAGCCCAGGTTGGATGCATGAGACAAGTGCTCAGGCCTGGTGCACTGGGAAGACCCAGAGGGATCAGGTAGAAAGGGAGGTGGGAGGGGGGATCGGGATGGGGAATACATGTAACTCCATGGCTGATTCATATCAATGTAAGACAAAACCCACTACAATATTGTAAAGTAATTAGCCTCCAACTAATAAAAATAAATGAATAAAAAAAAAGTGTTTGGTCAAACAAAACACATAAAGAAGTGGGAACTGCACTGCAAGAACCTCATTATTCACTCTACTCCATCCAGAATGCTTGAGCTCTGCTACAAAGACAGTAAATGTATCTTTCAAGGTCTAACAAATGAAACACCATATACCATGCACTATACAATATAATTCAGTAATTGTAAGAATGTACATTTGAAAGTAATGATGATACTTTAAAAATTAGGACCAATTCCACAGTTCAGTTGCTTCTGGCTTTGTACATACTAAAAAAACAACTTTCTAGTAGAATTTAATTTTGCTAAAACACATAATCAAGTTTCTAATGTGCTTAATTAAAGTCCTTCCTAAATCCAAAGGCTTTCAACACCTTAGTAAAAATTTTGAGATTTAAAGGCAAAGATTCTTATCTAAAAAAATAGCCAAAGGGGAAAATGTCAACTTCATTAGTAAAAGAGAAATGGCAGTTAAATAGTCAAACCAACCTTTTCCTATTTAACTAGAAAATCTTTTTAAAGATTTACTGTTGACCAAGGTTCAGTGAAGTTACTGTATTTTATAGACACAAAAGTCCCATTTAATTTGTGTTATTTATATGCCAAGTTTAAAAAAGTCATAACTTCCATTCATTCATTCATTTACTGAGTACCTTCACTGTGTCAGGCAATTCTTTAGGCACTCAGAATACAACTGTTAACCATATAGACCTTATATTAAATTCCAACAACCGAGAAAGGTTTCAGAGCATATGGAACATTAAGGTAAATCATTCAGTCATTAAAACATAAATTTTAAGATAAACACTATGTAGAGAAAAGGAATGTGATTGCATTAAATAAAGTAAGCGGAAAAATTTTTTTTAAAAACAAAATCGGTGTAAGGAAAAAGAACAGCAAAAAATAACTCCAGAATATAAGTGGTTTTTCCAGAACAGTAAAGTTATTCGCAGTTTATATGTCCTATAAGAAATACATCTGCAAGTAAATAACAAACACTAAAGATGTGAATTCCATTACTTTGCTGACTAACAGATAATATCAGAAGTAGCACGCCACATTTTCATAGACTCTTGATACTGAAGGAACTAATATTTGTTAAAACTGCGTCTAAGAAATAGTATCTTTTAAATGGTTAAAATAGAACAATAAAAGCAAATAACTGGAGGTTTGTATCTTAGAATCATCCATCATGGAAGGAAACAGAAAATGGAGAATCTTGCAATAAACCTCATCAATTTTCCAGCTTCTTTCTTAATTCAGTGAAATATCACTTCCTTGAAACACTGCCACCAGATATTCATGTACTTGTGACAGTTTGTAGTAAACACAAGGGGGGGCAAATCAATTTTCCGGGAAGAAAATCACCGAAGGATCTTCCCAAGACACATCTGCTATTCAACTATGAACATTTCAAACATTATTTACATATATCCAAGAAAATAATTCAGGAAACTTGCCTGCCTGTCTCACAGGTAAATCCAGTTGTTCCGACATAGTAATCTGAAGCAGCGTTGAAACAAAATTCAGAGACTTGTGTGCCTACAAATAAAAAAATATATTTTAAATTTCTGCAAATATTCTTAGTACTCTTATTTCACTACTTGGCTGGCACAAAAGGCTTTCCTCCACTAGTTGGTTCCAGTATTTCCTACCACTCACATATAAGGAACACACACACACACACACACACACACAAAATGCAGTAACCTAACTCCTAAAACCTTCACATGTTTGTATGTGCCTACATTCTGCTGAATTTCTAACCACATCGGTGACAGTAGCTCACAAACGGTCTCCTCCGTGATACCTATTTCCCTAATTCAGTAATAATTTCTCCAGGGATATTCTATTAAGTGGCCAGACAAAAACAAAGTGAGCAAAAATCAGTAACCTAAGGGGGTCGTTTCCAAGGTGCTAGTAACATTTTGTATCATAATACAGCTGTTTTATAAGTGTGTCCAGTTTGTGAAAATTAATCAACTGTATCCTCATGATCATTTTTCTGTATGTGCATGCTATATTTAAAATAGCTTTGACCATACAACAAAAGTAGGATATAAACTGCATGACTTAGTAAATGTATTTACATGAATATACAATGCAACACATACAGAAAATAATGAAATGCACCAAAAATGCTAATGAGTTATATCTGCAATGGTAGGATTACAGAGGTTTTCTATTAGCCAAATTTTATGCCATGATCCTGGATTGTTTTCATTAACAACACAAAAAAGCTAGTTAATTCCTTAATCTGTCATATTTCCTTTTGATTTATTAAAAAAGAACTGAAATCTCTTCTTATATGTATTCTCATTTCCTCTTCTGCAATATAAACACCTCCTAAAATGTCCTTCCAGCCCAAGTTTTAGTACTTTTCTGCACATGTTCACATGGACACTCGTGATTTTTAGTTTCCTCCTTATAGGCTTTTTCATGCATTCTACAAACACATTCTTAGAAACAGAAGAATTTCCCTTCAGATATAAAAAATGTCTTCCATGTAAGACTCAAAGGGATACTCTGCTCATTCAGTCATTCCAAAAATTATTTACTTAGTTGTTCTTAGTGCAAAACACTATGCCAGGACCTGAAAACACAAGGTTGAACAAGACAGTAAGTCTCCATTACCTCATGGAAAATGAACAATGAAGAAAAACAAGATAGCCAAACAGGTAACTATAATAAAGTATCAATATAATAGAAGAAATAGAAAACACTATGGAAGAAACAAATGTACAATCTCCTAACCCAGAAGTGGTATTTAAATTTAAGACCTGGACAGGAGCAGTTAAATAAATAAAGGGGAGGAATTTACCCTTTTCAGTACTCTAAATAGATCTGAACAGTTAACCATTATCACTTTCATGAAACACCCTTCCATCTAAACCGTTCATACATCACTTTTCCTGGTACCTTTTCAGTTTCCTTTGGTTGTTTCTTATTCTGTCTACATGGTTCAAGAACTCGGTCATAGGCCATCTTTTCTGCTCCCTAGCTGCTTTCATGCAACTCCTATCTTTAAATACCATCTATAAATCAAATGTAGTTTCCAGTCTAGGACACACAGACCTAGTAAACATCCCTACCTCCATTATCTCACAGGCTTTTCAGACTTACTATGATGAAATCATTTTTTCCCCTAAAAGTTATGACTCTTCCTTCCTTGTACCACCCCCCCAACCTGCCATCACAATCCTCCATTATTCATATCTGAAAATTGAATGCCATCTTTAATATGTTCCTCTTCTTTTAAAATTAAAAAAAAAAAGGTTTTTAATTTATTTATTTCTGACTGTGCTGGGTCTCTGCTGCTGTGTCCCTGTTTTCTCTAGAGCAGAGCCTACTCTTCCTTGCAGCGCACAGGCTGCTCACCGCAATGGCTCCTCTTTTGCCGAGCACAAGCATCAGGGCACTCTGGAACAGCAGTGCTGCCCACAGGCTTTTTCACCCCTCAGCATGTGGAATCTTCTCAGAGCAGAGACTGAACCCATGTCTCCTGCATTGGCAGGCAGATTCTTAACCACTGAATCACCAGGGAAGTCCACTTTCCTCTTCTTATCCCAGTTCAATACATCAGACCCTATCAATTGCATAGCCAAAATGGTTGTATAATTGACATATCCACTTTCTCCACTCCCACTAACACCAACCTAGTCCAAGTGACTGTCATCTCTTAATGTAACCATTTGCCTCCCCAACCATTCTCTATTTAGTACTCAATAATCATTAAAATTATAAAGTAATCCCCTTAAAACACATCTTTTAACAATTTTCTACCGTATTTCCTAAGGCCTAAAAGGCCCTGTCTTATCTTGCTCTGCTTATTTCATCAGCCTCACTTAAAGAAACTTTCTCACCCCCCTCATTGCCCCACCTTAGGTTTTTGCAGCAATAAACATTACCCCATTTCAGAGTCTTTGTACATGCTGTGACTTTCTGCCTACATCACTCCTCTCCAGTGCTCCACCAGGGTTAACTGGTCCACACCTTTATTCTTTAGGTCTCAGTTAAAACATTTCCTTAGAGAAGCATTTCCTCACTGATCACACTGGGGCTAAGTAGGGCTCCCAATTACTCTCATAAGCTCCAAGGTTTCTTTTTCCACTTCATAATAATTATTACATATTTGTAGACTGGTTTTATGTCTGCCTCTCCTATTAGACTCAAGATACATTAGGAGTAAAGACTTTACTATCTTTATATCCAGTTCCTCATGTTTGGCATTCAAGATAGTCAACAAATTTATTAAAAGAATAACTGAATGAATTAACAAAAAAGGTGCTGTAGAGGCAGTTGTAATCACACAGAGGTTGTGTGGAGCAAAAAAGAAAATTTGTATTTTTAGACTGGTAAGCACACAAAGACCACTACTATGATACTTCTTAAGTCATTAATATTACAGCAATATATCTTATCTTCTGCATAAAATTATGAACTCTAAGAATGAACTGCTAGAATTCAGACAGTACTGGTTATAAACCTAAGGGATGTCATGTCCTACATTTTTAACTCCTGAGCAAGTTTAATTCAGCAAAGCTAATTTTTTTATTGTGAAGATTAATTTTATTTAACAAATATTTATGGCACTTTTTTGTAAAGATTCTTTTCCCATATAGGCCATTACAGAGTACTGAATGGAGTTCCCTGTGCTATACCAACAGGTTCTTATTAATTATCTCTTTTATATATAGTAGTATATACAAGTCTGTAGCAAATCTAACTCTTAATTACAAAATCAGTATAACAAAATCTACTTCACAGGATAGCTATAAGGAAATAACACGAAAAGTATTTTAGCAAACATCAAAACATAACAAACAGGGAGTTCCCTGGTGGTCTAACGGTTAGGATTCCAGGCTTTCACTACCACGGCCAGAGATTAATCCCTGATCAGGGAACTAAGAATCCTGCAAATTGTGCAGTGTGGCCAAAAAACAAGAACAAAAAAACACACAAAAACCATACCTCATCTTTCTCAGAAAGTATGTTCTAAAGTCAGTAGGGCATAAATTGACTTTGCCAAATTACTTTTCAGTACGTTAAATCACTCATAAAATACAACATGTAGTTTCATTTATATATAACACTCTCCTGAGGTCCCAATTCTGCAGTTTATCTTTCTGAGTAGAAAAAGACTGCTTTCTATGACTGGAACTCCAAATGAGGTTGTTGGTTTACATTTAGGAGTCACTTTATAACAACAAAAACCACCACACAACGGCCACTGTTTTTGTTGGTTGGACACAGACAGCTGCATGTGAGTTAGAAGTGAGCATGTGCTGCTCGGCGTATCTTCCTATAACATAATAGGTACTATACGCTATAATAACAAGGGACCTTTATCAATTTCTAACTTCTTAAGGTTTAAACAATACAAAAAAAAACCCTTAACAGTACTTGAAGGAAACCAAGGTGAAAATTTTTATCATCTTGGTGGAGAAAACCTAAGCCTAACACTTTAAAGGGTGAAAGACATGAAAGAGTTTTGGTATCAGGTAGATAAAAGTAAAGCTTCATAGGCTTCAGCCCTGCCTTGGTATAAATAATGTTGAGGGGGAAAAAAGGAAAAGATTGCGACATCTGAGGAAATGTTAAATCACTCCAAAACAAAAATCAGCAAATACGTGCAAGCAAATTACAAAATAATTAGCACAAGGAGTTGCCTAGTGGCTTAGTGGTTAGGATTCCAGGGTTTCACTGCCATGGCCCAGGTTTGATCCTTGGTTGAGTAACTGAGATCCCACAAGCCACATGGCCGGCCACACACACACACACACGTCAAGTGGACAAGACAACACTACCCTAAAACAATACATGCAATACCAAAGTGCTGAGCAAGATAAGAAAGAAAAAAAATGGAATTCAGTGCTGGTAGATATATAAAATGGTACAACCATATTGGAAAACTGGCATTATCTGACATGTACTTATCTCATAACCTAGCAATTTCCCCCTTATAGATTCAAGAGAAATAAGGGCTTATGTTCACAATAATACCTATCTATAAACATGTGACTATACAAACAAACTGTGGTATAATTCATACATGAAATACTATACAATAATTTAAAAAAAACCCAATCCATGAAATCAATAATACAGATCTCAGAAACATGTTGAGAAAGAAGCCAGACTATATCATACTATGTGATCCTATTAACATGAAGTTTAAGAACAGATGAATCCAAACCACAATTAACAGAAATCAAGAGTAACAGTAACCTAAAGAAAGGTACTGATTAGGAAGAGTCTCAAGGGAAAGTTCGAGGCCAATGAAAATGTTTTCTCTATCTGTCTATCTATCTTAATCTGGAGGATGGTACTTGGGTAAAATCTGACTGAGCTGTACATATTTTTGAGCTTTGTATTATATATAAATTATCCCTCAAAAGAAAAAAAAATCAACAAGATTACTTATACTTGAACATTCACAGCATTATTCATAACCAAGTGGAAACAACTCAGATGTCCTTCAATGGGTAAGCAAAATGTAAGCATATCCATTCATTCATGTAACATTATTCAGTAATAACAAA